TGATTTTAGTTTGTTGTCTAAAACTATCAAAACCTTAAGGAATGAAAGCTTGCCAAGACGCCCTGAGGTGGTGCCATCAATGGAGTTATTTGTAAGGGTTGGAACGCTGTTGGAAGCCGGCAGCATTTGAAATAGATCTGTTCATACAGACTTCTTTTGCTCATGTTCTCTTTAATCCAACAAGACGTGTGAGAGAGGAAACCTGCACCCAAGCCTGCTCTGGGGACTGGTGAGGCCCCAGTTGTGATGGGACGGTGACCTCTTAGTAACTAAGATCCCCATGAGCAACACAGACATTCATAGGAAGTCAGTTGGCCTCCGTGGTTCTGAGACGTTGGGTCAGATAGTACGGTGGTTTGAATGAGAACGGCCCTCATAGGGGGACTTGAACACTTGGTCCCCAGGTGGTGGAACTGTTTGGGAAGATTAGGTGTGGCCTTGTGGGGGTGGATGTGTCAGTGGGGGTGGGCTTTGAGATTTACATTCTTGACATTCTCTTTTGTTTCCTGCTTGTGGATCAAGATGTGAGCTCTCAGCTACTGCTCCAATGCCATGCCTGCCTGTCTGCTGCCATGATCCCCACCAGGATGGCCATCTAACCCTCTGAAACCGTAAGCCTCAAATAAACTCTTCTATAAGTTGCCTGGGTCGTAGTGTCTTATCACAGAAATAAAAAAGTAACTAACAGACCGTGACAGTGATTTTGACTTATAAAATATCAGTTAGACTGGCCATTAATGAGGAGTTAGAACAAAACCAAAAGAGGAACTGGGGACATGGTGCCATCCTATGAGTACCTTTCTGCAGCTGAAGTTGCCAAGGCTGTGCCAAAATGGACTTACAAATTAGGGGTTATTGAACCTTCGAGTGGAGGTGGCAGGCACCAGGGAAGCTGAGAGTCTCAGATGTCCATCACTTGACTACACCCTAAGTGAAGTCAAATGCTCTCTTCACTGTCATCTAGGATGGCTTCATTTTGCCATGGGGAGTAACTGTGACTGAGTTCTGGCCAGGCACATGCCTGGACTAACCTATCAGCATTTTCTAACCTTCTTTTGACACAAGCAATAGACAGGAGACTGAATATCCCTGAGCACAAATTGGAATTATCACAAAGTAACTGTAATGTTCGTATTTAATGTTAGGTCCATTTGTAATGTCATCCTTTGGAAATGTCTTAACGCATTGGGAAGCAGGTGACATATTTCAGGTGTAGAGGGCAGTTCCTTCTCAGCCCATCCTTGGGAAAGCTAGCTTAAGAGTAGGCTTGACTCTGTCTTACTAATATCTCTTGGGGATGGTGGAGGGTTGGTGAAGGAGCAGATGGAGGACAGAGAAACAACCATAAAATGCCCCCCAATACCCCAGCTTTCTTTGTTTTCTGCCTTTTGTGATGTCATTTAGCTTCTCTGGAGCTCTGAGCTGCCTCTAAAGGGAAGCACGCAGACCCTGGCTCAGGAAGTCGTGGATGATATCACCGGGGGGCTTTGGATGGCAATCTTCTCCAGTTTCTCTGAAGTGGTATCGGTGTGGTGGTGCCAACTAATGCCTCCTGCTTTGGTAGACAGTTACTACGTGAGTGCATTGCCTGGAGTTTGGACACACCAAAACCTCAGTGTCCTTTAGTACTGATGGTAAGGATAGTTCACACATCCCCACACTGGCACATTTCAGATAAATCTTCCAAAGCCTAGGCTCAGGGTAAAACATCAGCAATGGCTGACATTTCTGGATGATTGGTGAGCAAGCTCCCAGGTGTATGGCCTCCTCCATGTAGGAGAGGAGGATGTGGGTTAATCAGGGGTGGGGGGTGGGGCGCATATCAAGGTGAGGGCTAGTTATGAAGTTTCCTGTGTCAGGACTGTTGCTGCTGTGCATGTTGAGAACTCGCTGTTTGATCCTGGACACCTTGTCCCCAACCCCTGGAGCCTTCTCTTCATCCCCTCCACCCTGCAGAGCCATCTCAGGACCCCCATGCCTATGCCACCAACGTTAATGAATGACTGCTCACAAGGAAATTCTGTGCTTCTTCTGACTTCAGCTTCAGCGTGTTCTCACAAGTTCCCTTAGTCCTTTTTAAAAAATTATTAGCAGTATTCTTAAATAAAAAAAAAAAAATCTCTCAGTCCCATGCAGCCTCTCTACCCAACTGTGGAAACGAAACACAGGAAACTGATCGCCCCGCTCTCCCAGAGGCCATTCTCCATTCTCTGGTCCCAGCATTCCTTGCTTCAAAGTCTCATTCAACAAACAGGCATGGCATGCACAGCAGAAGGTAAATGCTCAGAGGGACATCTCGTGGGGGCGGTAGAACTGATTTAAAAGCAGAATGACGGGCCTGGAGTCAGGGACTCAGTGGGAATGAGGATGGCATTAGGACCGGCATGCACCACAACCTATGCTCTGTGCAAGATGGTAAGAAACAGGAACTAGCTGAAATGATGGATCATGCAATTATGGGAAAGAAGCTGTTGAGAACAAGGAAGTGTGAATACCTGTGTAGGTCATAGCTTCCTCCATCTTTAGTTCCTGATATAGGAAAATAGAAGAGGAATTGGTTAGCTTTAGATCTCACAGAACTTTTCACTATGCTGCAGTGTCCATGACTATATCTAAATCCTAGAAAGAAACACACCGCGTTAAATACAGGCAGCATTGACATCCAACGGAGAGAGTCTATTAATTAGTCTCAAAAGGATGGAGTGCTAAGAATAAAAAGGCTTAAAGAAAAAAAAAAAGGTAAAAAGACAAATCTGGGTGAGAACAAGAGGGCAGTATGAAAAGTATTTCCAGAAGTTCATGTAATTTTGAGTAAATTAAATTTGGGGTAGTGGCCGTGCTTGAAAAGGGAGGCCAAGAGTTATCTCCCACAGGAACAGTCCAGACGCTGGCGAGGTCTACTTCAGGCTCACAGCAACAGCTAGGCCCCACCGGGCTTGTTATTTCACTGTTAAGGACCCTTTCAGTTCCTCACAGTGGAGCTGATAAGCCATCACTGATGACTTAGGGTGCTCTATTCTTTTGGGGGGTGATAGCTGCACGTAATATTTCTAGTCCCTCTAAGAGTTTGGCTTAGATCCCAGGCCTTCTCAGGTTGGTTTTCCCCCCTTTTCTCTTCTCTTTTTCTTTCTTTGTTTCTGGAAAAGGTCAGGATATAAGCAGGTTATCCCCAAGCTTTCACCTGAGTGAAGTAAGCAGCCCAAAGACCTGCTTTGCAGGCCTGGTTCTTGCTTGGGTGATGTTCCCTAGGTGTTGATGGAGCACTGAGCTACGACACGTCACGGGACTTTCCTGTAGGTCACCCATGGCTGGATCTAGGACCCTACAGTGGTGGAAATAACAAGCCAGCGGGTTGATCATTTTGGGAGACCCTCATTTCTCCCTTCAAGTCTGTGCTCCCCCATCAGGTCAGATGTTTGAACGCTGAGTTGGAGGAGCTTTTTTTTTGGGGGGGGGGTTACAGAACCTTGGGGTGGTGGAGCCTTGCTAGAGGAAGTCTGTCACTGGTGGTGGGCGTCCAGTGTTTAGAGTGTCGCCTGATCTGCTCTTCTGTCTCTGTTTCACTTGTGGTTCAGCTTCCTGCTCCAACCACCTCGCCTACCACCTGCTACCATGTTTCCCTACCATGATGGACTCTTCTCCCTCTGGAACTGTAAACCAAAACTCTTTCTTCCATAAGTGGCTTTTTTTGGTCATGGTGTTTTATCACAGCAACAATGAAGTGGCTACCACTAAGTGACATGACCAGACAGCTGTCATTCCCATCGCTAGGGAGGCTGGCTCTACACAGGACCTACAAACTGCAGGTTGAGACTTGGTTGCATTACATACGCTCCACCTGGGATGGAAAAAAACACAGCTCTCTGGTTAAGAGCACATAGTGCTCTTCAGGGGACCAGAGTTTGGTGTCCAGCACCACATCAGGTGGCTTGCGATTGCCCGTAACTCCGGTTCCAGGGGATAATGACACTCTCTATTCAGGCCTCTTGTGGTATTGCATTCATGTGCACAACCCCATAATGAGTGCACAAATCCATATCCAGACACAAACATGTGCACATAATCAAAATGAGAGGGGGGAGGGAGGGAAGGAGGGAGGGAGAGCACTTGCAAGTCAGGCATTGTGACTTATACCTATATTCCCAACATTTGGGAGACCGGCCATACTGGGCCACCCAGTAAGTTGGAGGTCAACCCAGCTTTGCACGGTAGGAACTTGTCTCACAGAGGGTGGGGGGTGGGGCTCCTGCACACTGCTTTCCAAAGCCAGTGACTTCAGCTTGTCCCTCTGCAGGGATGTCAGGGTCTCTCCAGCTCTTTCTCTTCCCTTCTGTGAATAGCTGACATGTACATTTCTACAGAAATGGTGTAGACAATGACTTTTCTCGTTGGTGGGGCAAAGGCTGAGCCAACAATGCAAAGAGCCACATCTACATAAGCCCAAAGGAGAAAAAACAATCAGGCGTACCCACCAGGACAGGGCGGGAATCTTCCCAGCACCATTTCAGATTCCAAGTTAATGAGCTTCCTAACTATTTCTATTTTCAAATGGGAGATGGTGGTGAGAGAAATGGAATTCCCTTGTTTGGGACACGGATTTGGATGGGAGTGGGTGGTTCCAGATGATAAAAAGGAAACGCAGGCCACTGTGTGTCTCTACCAAGCCGCTGTAACAAGAGCTTCTGGTTTACTTAGAACAAAGCCTTAATCTCACCTTCCCATGGATGCTTCTGTCAGAAATTGAAGTTTTCTGATACAGAGGACATGTGCAAGTCGTTGGAGGGATACTCACACTCAATCTTTCAGTAAACTCAGCTTCCCATCACTATACTAAGGGTGAGAGACTTAGAGACCAAATTGTGTTTAGAACTGTTTAAAAGTTGCTCCTGTTAAGTACCGTAAACTATATGCTTATACATGGAAATGCGTTGAAAGGAGAAGTCTTGATAATACAAAGAATTTTCTAAATACGATAGAAAGAAGTAATACTTTTTTCTTACCGATGTCAAGGCCCTTGGGTCTTGGGTTGCACTGTTTGTACCCTTGACAGCTGCGGAGCTCCATTAGCTGTATGTGTAGCTGATTCAAAATGCCCCGTTCTACCGTGTGCACTGTGTTTGTGAGCTGTGGACGAAGTGGGCAGGACAGTGGACGTAAGCTCGTGTCTGGTTATCCTATTTCCAACCACGCTTGTCAAATGAAAGCATAGTGTCTTACCTGATAAGGATCCGTATTCATGTCAAAATACTCCAGGAAGCCGGTAGCAAACTCACAAAAGAGAAAATTGTGCGTCTCATTAACTGTACGCAAACACCAGTATGTGTTGTTGTTAGAACTTGTGCATGCGCAGAACGACCCCACTGCCGGAAAAGAGAGAATAACAGCACAACAAAAAGAATGAGACACCGTCACAAACTGGCCATGTCAATATTAAATCCCTTACAAGCTTCATGGGTGCTTTCTTATAAATACTGTGATTGGCTGTCCAAGATGACTCCATCCTTTCCTCCATGCAACCTGGGACATTGCAGGGGGGCTCATACAGGCTGAAGACCAAGGTCAAGTTGCAGGCCACTAAGTTAGCTGCCCCCCTTAACTCTGGAAGGTGGCGGCCTCCAAAATGGGGTGAGTGGGTGGAGTTTTGGGGGAAGAGTGGTAGAGCTTCAGTTTGTGGCTATTTTTATCTTTTCTGAAAGGAAGACATGGCTGTTTCCACAAGCGACAAAACTGGTGCCCTCGCTGTGTCTCAGGGTCACACAGTTAGTGTCACAACTATGTGTTGGAGAGACAGAGTCTTAGACGAGGATGGAACCTAGCTTGATGGATTCGGAGGTGATGTCATTTGCAGTTACAATAGGGCCTCTACAGCACTGTCTGTGTGCGCACAGGAGCATGCAGGCACGCATGTGTGTGAGGGTACACATGTGTATACATGTAGAGGACAGAGGACAACCTTGGGTGTCCTTCCTCAGGTGACGCTCACCTTGCTTTGGGGACAGGATCTCTCTTTGGTCTAGAACTCCCTAAAGCAGTCTACACTGGCTGGCCACAAGCCCCAGGGAGCTGCCTATTTCTCTCTTCCCAGTGATGAGATTGTAACCATGGTTACCAAGCCTGGCTTATATGGGTCCTGGGGGTGCACTTAGGTCTTCCTGTTACGTGCCAAGCACTTTACTGGTTGAGTTACCCAAGACCTCTCTATAATATTTTAATATACAGTAAGATTTGACCATCAACATCATCTTTTGTACATAGATAGGCTCCCTGGCTAACTTGCAGAAAGTACTTAAGAGACATCAAATTTTAAAACCAGTCATCCATTCTCATTCTTGTAAAAATGGAGGGGGTGATGATGGAGTTTCAGAAATGTGCTTTCTAGCAAGTATTTCTTAAAACATTTAAGATAGGCACGGTCAATGGGATGTACTGCTGATGTAAGATGTTTGAATAGCTTAGCTCATTTCGTTCTCAAAGAACCATTAGACAGATTATCGTGCCCAGACCCACTTATAGATGGGAAAACTAAGTCCCGGCATCACGTGGCTAACAGCTGGCCACAGGGGAGTCTGGTGAGAAGGCTGACGTTTAGCTGGGAGACTACTGCCCTTTGCAATATTAAACACACTGCAAGCTGGAGGGGATCCTTTAAACAGTGAATGAGAGGGGATTATGTTTTCAAATATTTTAGCAGACCAGACTTTGGGGGCAGTTAAAAACTGAAGGGAAGCCGCGTCATGCTCCATAACCTACCACCGTGGTCTGCAGCCTCCCCACTGCTGATACCCCTCAACAGGGCTTACCTGCTTCAGCTGGTGAATCTACATACACTACTCTTGCTACTGCCCAGTTTATGGGTTTGGACCAGGTAGCCCAGGCTTGCCTCAGTCTCATGATCCTCCTGCCTCGGCCTCCTGTGTACCAGGTGAGCCTGGACAATGACATGTGTCAGCCATGATGGCACACAGATTTTGGTCTTGTTGATCTAAACTCCCCTGTGTTCTGTGTTCTGTACATTCACCTCTCTTTCACCCCAGAAACACGTTTACAAAAGCAAATGTAGTATATCTACAAAATGGAGTATATTTTATCTAGAAAATGGAGTATATTTTCATCCACTTGATTTTTTTTTAAAGAAAGTGCTCTCAGTATGTCATTCATAGTTTATATTCTTTTTCTATGAACATTTAGTTCACACATACGTATTAAAATCCAGGTGGCCAGAATTTTCTAATTTATGTAGAAAATTTCCAAATCAATAGTTTAAATGCTTTGTGAACTTGTTTCATAAAATATACAAGTATAAAACTTCTGAGCCCTGCTCCCAGGCTCACTCTGCTAGGATGCTAATCTCTTCCATTTGGACCCCTTTACTACATACAACTCTTTAGGTCTAAGCTTAATCATCGCCTTTTTAAAGACCCATTGCTGCTGTCTGGATATTGACTGTCCCTCAAGGTCCCGGAGCAGCATTATTGGGAAGCATCAAACCTTTAGGAGCTGGGACCTAGTGGAGGTCTGACATCACTGGAGCATAAGCTTGATGTGGACTGTGGGGGCCGCCTCCCTTCTCTCTTTGCTTCCTAGCCACCACGGGGTGGAGAGATTCCTCCAAGTGATTCCCCACCATGGATAGATCCCTCTGTCACGTGAACCCATGTGACTCCCCACCACAGGCCCCAAAGTAAGAAGGCTGATCAAGCAAACTGAAGCGCTCAGACTCTGGGCAGAAATGAATGTTTTCTTCCCTTGAGCTGACTGTCTCATGTATTTTCTTACAGTAGTGGAAAGATGACTACCACACACATTATCTTCATCATCTCTAAAGGGTCCCCTCAAAAGCCTCAATCACTGTTGCCTTCATTTGATGGCTACTAAGTGTAATTATTTTACATAGCTCACTTGCTTGCCTGTCTTCCCCTCCCCACTAGAATCATGGTGTGAGGAGGACACACTCCCCACTGCGGCAATCTGAATAGCCCACAGGGACTCCCCAAAACTCCATTTCAAGAGCCACATTAAAAGCTGAATGCCGTGACGAAGAGTCACGTGACCTCACTGTGATCATGAACACATGTGCAAAGACAGACACAGCTTAAACAGGGGCAGGACTGACAGACACGAGCTGCCCAGAGCAGGGGTGGGGTGATGGGGGTGTGGCCACCATCTCCTACAGAATGACCTGGGGGAACTCCACATGCCAGTTTGAGAATCCGCTGGCTGCCCTCCACTGACCCTTGGAAGGTTGGGGTTTTAGCTGTGCTCTGGTAAGCCTCCCGTCCAGTGATGTGTCACTGCAGCCTGGGACACGATTCCCCTGTGGCTTAGTGAACGCCATGAGAGCAGAGAAGACAAGCACGCTCTCCAAAAGTGCACCATTGTTCCATATCCTCTGCCATTCAAGACAAAATGGAAAGCATTTGTGGACCCCAGGGTCTTCCACCAAAGGGGCTCAGGATAAGGAGGGTGTGGGTCTTGTGTTTACAGTATCTTTACCATGTTCTTATTCCTTTTAAGACACATGCATTAGAATTAAAGCAGAAACCAATCTATTTGGGGAAAAACTGCCGCAGGTGTTTTTTGCTGCTGACCTGAGCAGGTTTATTGGGAGGGAACTGCCTCGGTCAGCCTCTCTGTGAAACCTCAAGGAGAGGCTTGGTGTCTCTATCTATCTATCTATCTATCTATCTATCTATCTATCTATCTATCTATCTATCTATCTATCTATCTATCTATCATTTTTCAAGACAGGGTTTCTCTGTGTAGTTTTGGCGCTTGTCCCAGATCTCACTCTGTAAACCAGGCTGGCCTCAAACTCACAGAGATCCGCCTGGCTCTGCCTCCCGAGTGCTGGGATTAAAGATGTGCACCACCACCACCTGGCCTGACTTGGTGTCTTTAAACAGAAACACCGAACGTTTCTAGGAATAGAAGCCAGTACACCTGTAATCCTGGCATGAGAGAGACTGAGCCAAGAGGACTGCAAATAGACCAACCTGGCCTATACAGTTCTAGGCCAGCTTAGAGTACATAGTAAGACTATATCTTTAAAAATCCGAGCAAAAATTAACACAAACAAAAACAGAAAAACCAAACCACAGTTCCTAAAGGAAAAGTAATTTCTTCTAGCAAAATGGTTTGAGCGCAGAACAATATGGCATTTTCCTTTTGGGTCTCCCTGGGCTGCTGTGCTTTATCTGTGGGATTCTTAGCCTATGTTAGTGAGGTAGGAGGGGTGTTCTCTGCACTCCGGTAGCATGTGCCCTGGGGGACTTACGGTTCCAGAACGGGGCAGTCTGCCAGTGGTTGTTGTCATGTGTGAAGCAGGTGAGGCCAGGCAGGCTGCACGCCTCCCCTTTCCGCTGCCGTTTCTTTTCCTTCCTCGCCTTCTTCCTCCGACGGTTTTCCTTGAAGAGCTGCAGCTTGCTGTCCACCTCCTGGGCTGCAGCCTCCCTGGACCGAGACAAGGAACTGTTTTGATGACCAGCAGGGACATTATGAAAAGGATTGTTGTTCTGCGCCTTGCACAAACGCGTACGTGGAAGACGCACAGCCACACGAGCTCAGGTGACCTGTTTCTCATCGACGGCTTCCAAAATAGCCAGTGTCCTGGAGGCAAACTCACTCAGTGACAGTTCTCCTAGAACTTTAGTAAGCCTGACAGTTACTGGTTCTTAAGCATGGATGGAAATAAACGTTGGCTTGAGTCCCAGTACATCAACCCCTGGGCAGCCACTGAGTCAATAAATGGTTAGTTGGATGGGACGGCTTACACTAGGTGGATTAGAAACGATTTGGTAAATTATACACAATAAATTTTTAAATAAATAATTAGGATGTTTCTTCTTTAAAATATTTATTCTTTGAGAATTCCAAATTTCATCCACGTATACGAGATATGGTCATATCCGCCCCCAGCTTGTGCTACAACCCCCCATCTCCCTTCACTCATCCTCTTCTTAACTTCCTCTCTCTCTCTCTCTCTCTCTCTCTCTCTCTCTCTCTCTCTCTCTCTCTCTCTCTCTCTCATAGCCCAGTGAGTCTAATTAGTTTTGTCCATATGTGCAGGGGTGGAGGCTGTCTACTGGAGCATGATCACACCCAGTGTGACCACACCAGTAGTCACACCCCTAAAGCAGAATGCTTCTCCCTCCTCTAGCAGCTATCAGCTGCCAATAGCTCCTCAGGGGTGGGCCTCACCCATGCTGGCACTTTGGTTGACTTGATGCTTGCCTGTAATCACCACCGCTAGGAGTCCATGAGTGCCATAGCAACGCCACATTCAAAAGACAGTAAGTATTTCACAATGCTCTTCCTCATCTTCCATCTCATATATTCTCTCTACTCCCCTGAGCCTTGGAAAGCGTTTTTTTTTTTTTTCCTCACATAGTTTAAATTTTGCCAACATTCAAATACAAAATCTCTTGCACATATGACGTCGGCCATTGTTTAAATGTCCACGTGCTTGCTTTCATTTTGAGAGGTCAGCACTGTTACAGGTGACTCTGCTGAACACCCTCATTGAGTCAAGGGTCTGCTAACTCTCCATCGATCCCCACAGAGGACCAGGCACGGTCACTGTGGACAGTCCCTGACCGCTGGTAAACACGACAAACGTGAAGTTACTCACTTGAAAGGGTGAAGGTGGTTTTTTAGCTTCTCCTGTCTTTTCACTCCTTTCTCTTTGTTGTAGTAGCTGCAGGTCAGAAGATTAAAAACTGAGTCTCATATATATGTATACATACATATGACATCCTTTCATCTGATTAAATGGCTTAACACACACACACACACACACACACACACACACACACACACACACACGACAGGAAGTGAGTCTTCTGTCACTATTTCAGTTCAGTGGGACTTGCTTGTATCTTTTGCTTAAGTGGATGACGTATTTAATTTGACTTTAGTGAGCGAGAACAATATGCCTCACAGCGATGGATTCACGTACAGCATTGAGAGAGAAGCCAGCCTCAGGCTCATCACTCTGGGTCGTTTGTGTCAGGAAGTGACTGTGGGACGCATGCTCACCTCTGCTTACCACAGCTACACTCCTCCGGCTTCCTTTTCTTCAGGTGTCCCCTGACTTCTCTTAAGTTCTTGATTTTATCTTGCAGAACTTCAATCTGGAAAACACACGTTCACACAATTCCCTTCTAAGATCAGGATTTTTCTTTGCAAAATATCGCCCCCCCCCTTGTTTGCTGACTTTCATAATTCTAACTATTCCAGAGAACAGACGGGACACACAGAACATAGAACACACAGTTATAGAACATATCTATATCACATCTACATTCCAATTAGTGTGCCACAGAAACATTAACAGATACTTCTCCATAACTGGATAATTTTCTCAAAAATATGCAAAAGACTATTGGGTTCATCCCTGTTTTTCCCACGCTTGCTTTCAGTAGGACTATCACTATGTTGTTGGAGGAAGATAAACACCTCGATGGATTTCTCAGTTCTTAGGCAATTACAAATAGGAGGATATGTACACGTGGAACGTCCCATCCATCACGGCAGGACTAGGCAGCTGAGCACACAGCCATGCGATCGCTCTCTGCTTGCGTGTTTGCAGTGCTGGGATGGAACCAAGGTCCTTGCTTACGACAATCAAGCTCCCTATCACCAAGCTCCACCGCACCCCTAACACTGACCTCTTTGTCGATGTAGGCCTTATGGTCCTTCCACGCTCTGGCTGATTGGTACAGCTCTCTCTCGCAATGGATTGTATCATTTGGAAGAATGAAGCATCTGGAAATCAAACAGGACCAAGAGAAACAGGCGTAGGGTCAAGTATCAGAAAACACCCGAGGCAGCAAAGAGAGCTCAGCCTCTTTGCTGTAGATAAAAGCACCGAGCTTAGGGCTGATTCCTACACACGGGTAAATGAGAATGCGTCCTGGCCGGTGTCTGGATGAGGGATGGGGTCACTGCCTGTAACTAGATCATCCCCAAGAACAGCTTATTGAAGCTTTTCACATACGTCTTCCTTTGAATAGACTCCACTCCCCAACTCAAGTTTTTAATGTGTGTGTGTGTGTGTGTGTGTGTGTGTGTGTGTGTGTATGAGTGAGTGTGTGTGTGTGTAGATTTTCAGTCACAATGAAAAATGGCTTCTTGGAAGAAACATATCATTCCATTATTTTGCCTCTAAAGAAATACCTCAAGCTCTCTGATGTTTTCCTTTCCCTGTCTGGCTGTTCTGGGGCTCTAACCTGGGGTCTCTGGCTGGACAATCACTTTACACAGGCTGAACTAGACCTCCAGCTTCACCATTCAGGGTCTTTTCTTTTTTCTTTTTGTTTTTTCGAGACAGGGTTTCTCTGTGTAGTTTGGTTCCTGTCCTGGATCTCACTCTGTAGCCCAGGATGGCCTCAAACTCACAGAGATCTGCCTGGTTCTGCCTCCCAAGTGCTGGGATTAAGGTGTGTGACCCTGCTGCCTGGCAAGGGGTCTTTTCTTTAAAGACAGTTTCATATATCCCAGGCTGGACTTGAACTTCCAATCCTGCTGATGCCCTGAGGGCTGGATCATAGGTGCAGTCCTTCATGCCTAGTTTGTGTGGTGCTGTGGGATCAACTGTCCATTTATTTTTATTTGTAGAGCGTGTTGTCTGCATGGATGTCTGTGGACCAGGAGCATGCAGTGCCTGAGGAAGCCTGAAGCAGGTGTTGGATCCCCTGACCCTGGGGTTACAGACAGTTGTGAACCTCTGTGTGGGTGCTGGGAATTGAACCCGGGTCTTCCAGAAGAGTAGCCAGTGTCCTTAAGCTCTGAGCCAACTCGACAACCCTAAGTCCGGGGCTTCTGGCAAACTAGGCAAACATTTTGTCCACTGAGCTATGTCCCTAGTCCCAGCCACCCATTAAGTTTCGAAACAAAGTAACAACCCTGGGATAGGAATGGGTGGGTATGGGGTGTGACTCTAACATCTAAATACTGGGTGAACTCATCCCGCTCCATGATACTCCATGGTGATGATACTGGGGATAAAATGAAGATCTAATAAATTTAGAAAGAGAATACTTCTTTATCAAGAGAGTAGGTAAATTTGGGGAGGAATTGAAGAACCATGAGAGTTTATTAAGCTGTGGAAATAGTGTTTGTTTCTTGTCAGCAGGACTTCCAATCCTTTCTGTCTGTTCTCGTGAGGCAGGTCAGGATTTTCTGTATCTCACATACCCATTCCTAGCCGAAAACCAGTTTCTACAAGTTCTCCAGGACCCACCGTCCTTCTTCATGGTATGTTTCAATTCTGAGGCCTGATTCTGTAATGCTCGAAGTCTGGGGGACCACAGACCATGGAGGAGTCCCCAGAACTGTTTCCATCTATTTCCAGACACTTCTGTAGGTAATGACTTGGGGATGGAAACTTCATCCATGCCTGCTAAGTTAAGATATGAAAGAACTGCCCTGGCTGGGTTCCCGGCCAATCAGCCATAATATGAACCCGAAGGACATGTAGAGGTCACTGCTGGCTCTGGCTCCTTGTGTCCCCGTGCCCTCTGCTGTACAGGCAAGCCTTCGGGTGCTGTGTTGCTGAGTGACACCCACTTTTCCTAAAGCCCAGATGGTGACTGCATGGGGTGCAAGGTACTATTGACCCCCACCCTGGGGACTACAAAAGCAGACTCACTTGTGTGTCACACGGACAGTGGTGGGTAGCCCAACCGCATTATTACTGTCTGCCAGCATCTCATTCCTGAGGTCACCAACAGCAGCCTGGTGGCCTCCCACCCCGTGGTGACCCTCATCGTGGCGCTTAGCAATGCTCCTCGATGGTAACACTTGCAATTCTTCTTCTTCCAGATTTATGTCGTATATTTCACCTTCAAATTCCACAGACAGGGACCGGGTCTGCCGGGTGTGCACAAACCTGGGCTTATACTCTGGAATGAGAGGAAAAGCCATTAATACAGAAGAGCTGGTGCGTGTGTGCGGAGAACGATAGCACCCATCGCCTTGGCATCTTAGAGAGAGATGGGCATTGCTGGCGGAATGGCTAAGGGGTACCTGGGGTAACTCCTGAAACCACAAAGGCAAAAGCGGGCTCTCTACTGGCTGTGTCCCACACAGATGTCACACCTCTCTGGCTGCAGCCCCTTCCTCCGTCAAGGGGGTTAGCAGGCTGTGAGTTTTCACATTTAGTTGTTTTCAACATGAATGGCTCTATGTCATGGCAGTGAACATAGAACTATATAGCCCCTGCTTGTTATTTATAATGATTGGCTTTCCCTTAGCTTTGGTTGCTCGATGTATACTGTATATCTATCTTGAATCCATGATCTTGAAATGTGGAATTGTCATAATGGTCCTAACATTAAAAAACAAACAAACAAACAAAAAAAAAAAAACAAAAAACAAAAAGCAAACTGGACTGGAGGGATGGCTCAGAGGTTAGGAGCACTGGCTGCTCTTCCAGAGGACCTGAGTTCAATTCCCAGCAACCACATGTTGGCTCACAACCATCTGTAGTGAGATCTGGTGCCCTCTTCTGGTGTGCAGACATAAAGGCAGACAGAACACTGTATACATAACAAATAAATTTTAAAAAAACTTAGGAGCTATCAAACAGGAATCGGTGCTATCGTCCACATCTTCAGATGAGGGAACCGAAGCCTTGAGTGTAGCATGCCTTTCCATGGGGTCTAGAGCCGGGATGTGCTGTCTGGGCTTACAGCCTCACTACTGCCTTGGGCCTTTTCAAAAAGGAGAGCACCTTAAACATCTCATGCTTACACAAATAAAGGGGAACACTCTAAAAATCTGAAGGTTTACATCGGCCATGTAACATTTTAAACACACAAGGTGCAGAGTAAGGCCATCTGCATCATGACTATGGGATGGTCTTTTCTGAGTAAGAAGGAAGCCCGGCAGAGATGTGGGAATTGGAAGTGTCAGCCCCCTCCAGGGGAGACTGCTCCCTACAGGACCCCTTAGCTTCCAGGTGTGGGAGTGGCCTCCATGGCCATCATTTTAGGAAAAGAGGAAATCCACTGCTGTTCTAGGACACACGAGAGTCACAGCGAAAACTGAAGGGAGTGTTCCTGCTAAGTGGGATCTTTGTATCAGGGTGGGTGTATCAGCCATGATTTCCCTGTGTAGTTTATATGTCATCAGTTTCCTTCCAGGAAGAAAGACAATTCCTTAGCTCAGTGGGGTTTTTGGATGGGTTTCAAGACAGGCTTTCTCTGTACAGCCCTGGCTGTCCTAGAATTTGCTCTGTAGAGCAAGCTGGCCTCAAACTCACAGAGATACATCTGCCTCTACCTCTTGAGTGCTGGGATTAGAGGTGTGTGCCACCACCACCCAGACACTCCGTGGCTCTTAACTTTTCTGGTTGTGAACCACTTTACGAATTTGTGGGGAAAAGAATTTGTAGAAAGTGAATAGTAGTCAATTTTGGATACAAATCATGTGTTCATGATCCTAAAGTCTATTCTGTTCAGGACAAAAATGCCCTATGATTTTCTTGAACGATTTGTGTACAGTTCTTGGACACAGGTTTAAAGAGAACTTGATTGCTAACACAGAAAAGTTACCACAGAGTTGAGCCGCTTCTCATACTTGCCACTAGGTGGCAGAAGACTCTCACTCTTCAGTGCATGGTTGCCGCATTTTTTTTTTTCCTGTAAGTCTATAACCTCACGTGTCAATCAGTTACCTGAGAGTTTTCATGAAGGAAATTGTCGGCAGTAAGTGTATGCCATGCTGAGCTCAACTAACTTGATCCTTCTAGTCAGCATGATACAACCGTTTGACAACATTTAAAGAGATATACAGTCTAAAACACGGAAAACGGGCCTTTAAAAAGTGTTCATGCCTTCCTTTTCAGGCTGAACACACATGGGACTGATACCTGGAGTTTAAAGCAACTTAAGGCAGACAAAGCAGGGCATTACCATGAAGGTAAAGAAAAATGGACCTTAACCACCCACACCGGTTCCTGAAGAATATCCACCGAGGCTCCCCATGCGTGCTGATGCTCTGGGCCCGAAAGTGGAAAGTGGAGTTTCACTCTATGCTAAGGGGAAACATTTGCAAAGTAAAATGTCTAACCCATCTTTGCTATCTTACTTTAAACTGAACAATGATTTTGCTTTTATTCTGACATCTAGGCACCATTAATATGTAAATCGTGTCGGGGTGGAGTGCACGCGCGGGGGGTGGGGGGTGGG